GAGAGGGGTCTCGTCGCCGTGTAGTCTCTGCCGATCGCTGGGGACATCAATCGTGACTGCCCGGGTCTGTTTTACCCACGAGTCAATGAGTTGCGATGAAGATGCAGCATTACGGGGTGGCTTGGAAATGCGGTTACTTGGGGGCGAATGGTGTACTGCAGAACTGGAGCTGAAGATGAGAGGGACGGAAAAACCGTCTGGTACATTGCACTGTTTCAGTGCGCTGTCCGATCGAGTTACGCCCCACTGTCGGCTGAGGCCTCCTTCCAGCGTACGATTCTTTTTACTCAATACTCTTGGGAATCCCGACTTGAGTAAAGGCTATAATTATGGCTGTGGGGGATTTTGTCAAAGGGAAGCAAAGTCTGACATATCAATAGCTTCCACGAGGCATAGAGATTAGTCTCTTCTCAAGAACCATTTTCCCATAAAAAAGGTATACCGTGTATCCCCAGACAGTTACGTAATAACAAAACACTCTTCCAGCCTTTCAAATTATGGCACAGCATGGCCTGAACACGTGGTCCAGTAGAGCGTGCGCACATCGGTTCGGACGGCGCGCGTATCGCACGCAGCACCCGCCCACCTTTAACCAATGATCAACAAAAGGCCGTTGATCCTCAAACATCTCCGTTTGTATAGGACATCTGTTCAAAAGTACAAGAAAATTGTACCACCTACGTTTGACGTCAGCGCACCTGAACGTGTGCACAGGACAGAAGTGAAGCTCACGCTAAATGTTTACCTACCCTTTCACTCCACTGGAAGAAATAAGCCTGTGATGTTGACATTCCAGCGGATTTTATGGTTCATCAACGCCTGTCGGCTATTAATGACAACATAATTGACAAATATCTCTTCATGACCTTGAACCAAAGGCTTTGGGAAGTGATTTCCGAAAATGATAACTATTTAATAATAATTATAAATAAATTACTATACTATAAACTATAAATATACAATAGAACAAAATAAATTATTATAAATTACTAATAAATTTAAACGATAAAGGATAAGTACTTCTGAAGAAAGTCTATGAATAATTGAGTTTAGATCTCTGACGGCCCCTGTTTCTAAGGCCAATCAAGACAAACTCGACCCATCGAATTTGCCGTGTGGAATTTAAAGGGAAGTTGTCAAAATGAGCAGTAAGGAAAATACCATTGTGCCAGTTCGACAACCTGTCCTGGGGCTCTAGCCTTATATTAGCACATTGCGGGTTATATCTCAATTTCGCCAGTGTCTTTGAATCTTCGGTACTACACAGAAGCCATGCTTCTTGCACTTTGTATAAATAGATGGCTGCTAGGTTTCTCCGACGAGCCTATATGCTCGCCACTCCATTAATTATCGGATGCTGTTTTTATGGAATTATGTTGTTAGTTGTGTTATTGTATTCTGTGGCTGGAGTGACGGAGCGCTGAGGTGTCGGATGACAGGAAAATATTTGATACCATAAATACCCGCGCGGCGTGACAACCGAGTTTGACAAGCCACACTCGTTTTTCCTCTTCCTCTTCTTCTTTTGATGTCTCATAAGCTTAAAAGGTTTTACCAGAGGGGGCCCATGTGGATGGTGTGTTTGGAGAAGACGTGTTTAAGTGCTCCAGAATCCCTGCCGTTGTCATTTGGGTCGGTAGGCCAGACTTTAATGTGACGGTGCCGATTATTTGTGTTCACCCGTGCGGCGCGCCCGGAGACGTCGGGGACACACACCATCAAGTCCACTTCGCTGGGCCGACGTCACGACCGGGACTGAAATTGACGGGAGACGCCATTGTATGTGAGAATATTGTGCTCTGTTTGCCGCTTTGCACCCCCTCCCGTCCAACAAGATTAACTTCAGCACAGTTGTCCCTACAACTTGACATCCACACGCACATGGATTGAACTTAAAGAAGACCACTGCAACATGTTTTCAGTGTAGAGTTTATTTCACTAAGAGTTTGTGCCGGCAACGGGTTGTAAAGATGAAAAGTACGAACATTTTCAAGCCTGGAATTTCAAAACGTTTGTAGAAATCTGTGGACACGACGGGAGGACGGAAAGTATTCGACATCACTTGGCAATGTTTTTAATAAAGATTAACGCAGAAATGCGCGCACATTGCATGGATATACAATGTACCAAATGTGCACAATACATATTTCGGTTAAATACACGTCATTTTCCAGGCGGGTATGTAATGATGTTACATTAAGTTTACGTTTTGGAGGCTCTCGGTTCTTTTGGTTGCAGTTGGTCCTCTTAAACGCTAATTTTACTTCTATGAACAGTGTTGTTGACTGAAGGACCGTACAGTCAGTTTTTCCTGATCAAAACGTAAGGAGGACATTTACGCAAACGGTTAGCAGAACAAAATATCTTGTTCACTTACTGGATGTGTAAATATCGTCGCTTGTAAACATCCTCTGCACTCTGCACCTTCGATTTTGATCTACAAACGAGACTGCCCAGTCTGATCTCCTCCATGCCATCGGCAATTGAGTACTTTTACATGCTGCCACCAAGCGGCTAAATACAATCCACCATGTTAGATTGTTAACCAAACCAGTTGTTTCCGAGAGCAACTTTTTGTTTATCAAGTTCTCTGCCAAGTATTGGCCATTTATGTCGCCCGTTGGCCGTATTAACCTATTAAGGAGTCACTGGACGACACGTACGCGTGAAGATCAGGAATTTGAAATTGGGAGCCCTGATCTCTTTCATAAATAGTGTCAAATCCTCTCTTACGTTATCACGGTGCACAAGCTGATTGTCTAGACGCCGTCTGCTCGAGACCGGAGTAGGGAGGTGTGCGCACACGTGCGAGGCGAGGATGAGACTAAACGCGGTATGTGAGCGTCACTGTTGGCTGCTCAGCTGAGGGACGAATTAGCAGGGGACGGGAGCCAGGATTCCGGCAGGATTGCAGCAATCAGCGGGCCGCTTGGGGCGAGCCGGCTGCTGGCATTAAGACCGGGTAGGGTGTTTACCCCGTGACTTAGGCGCGCGAGCGTGTTTACACGGTCAACACAATTCAATCAATTCCTGAGCGGGAAACATGCTCCCCTTTAATGACTTTCCTCGTCATTTCCCCCCCCTCTTTCATCTGGCCGGGGCTTGGCTTTGCGAGGGGAAGTGTTTGGATAATGCTCAGTTTCCTCTCAATGAACTGGAAGATTTTCCTTCTTAAGAACCTGTGTGTGTAAGTTTAATTCGCCTCGGTGCGACAGACATTTGCCCGGCGCCCGTAGGTCGTGTTGCATAAAAATGTTCCACTCTTACCCCCTTTGCTATCATCGTAACATTTCTCTGGAGGGCGTAAAAGGAGCTTACAGCCGGTTTTATTAAAGCCGTGCGTAAACACTTCCTGGTTGTGTGCACCCAAAGCTGCCATTAACGCTGGTTAACGACATTCTCAGAACAGTCCAACGGAATTCGGTTTGGTTGGATGGGAAACGGTGTCATTGGCCTATTTATGTTTCAGGTAATCTAGGCCTTCAAATCTCACTGGGAGAGGTTTATCTGGTCCGAGCGGAACAAAAGAGGGCGGGTTTTTTGGTACTCACCGCATAGGCGCGCCATGAGGCGCGCGAGTATAATGTGCGTTTGACGAGGAGCACGCTGAGTACGCGTAACTAATTTACGCGTCCTCGAACAAGAAACCCGTATCAAGAACAAGCCGCCCGAACTCGACCTTTGCGTACACGCAGAACACGTGCAAGAACCCGCTTGTAACCACCTGTCGTTTTTTTCACCGATTGGGGTGCACTTCAGCTCGCTGTTTGTCGAGAGCCCGTCAAGTAGCCGGTCTTAAAGGGTTGATAAAGCACCGGCTGGCTGTGCGCCATCTGACTTTGCGAATCAAAGGTATTAATGAACGAGAATGATTACGACTGAGAGATGAACGCTGATAATGTCCCTTGCATCATCAGCGTCCACACACTAAAACCCAACGCCCATTATAAACGTGTCTTTGCGTTAACATTAAACCATGTAACCGTTTAAAATTTAACACCTTTTTAAAAAAGAAAATTTGGTGTTGAGAAAGTGTTAACGACCCGATAAACATGTTTTGGTGTCTTATCAACACCCAAAGTGTCTGAATATATCATTAACGCGTCAACACATATTTGTCTACGAAATAAACACCACATCGTGTTTAGTTTGGTATTATTAACAGCACACCACGTTCATAAAGTGTTAGCAATACAGTGCCTCTCCCTGTCCGGTCCGAATCGAACGGTTAAGACCGGCCCAGCGCATAGTTTCCCCTTTATTATGGGGTCTCTTCAGCGAATCATACATTCTGGAGTCACAAACCTTTTTCCATGACTGTTAGTTAAAAAAACCTCCATTTTTTTCACTGTTTTTCACACAAATCACGGTCATGGTTAGATAAACTCTGAAAGATCCTCACCCTATCACGGCCCGTGCGAGTTTAGTTCTTTCTCTTAAACCTGGCTTTGCAGTGACAGATGCAAATGAAACTTCGTATGCATATAGGTGCGCGCGCACGCTTGTTTATCAACGGCCAGTATTTTACAGTATGGCTGCTTGTATCAAAGCGCCTGTATACAACGAACAATCCGAGTTGCTCAAATGTGTGTATTGTACATGCGACCTCAGCAGCCATAAAGGCGCTTGATAGGCATGGTTGCGTTGTATGTTCACGAGACACATTACTTCCGATTTCTATCAGCGTTGCCATTTTAAACCTGCCACCAATAACAGTACCAGACACAAACCAAACCAAACCCAAACCAAAAACCAAATCCAAACCCAAACCAAACCAAGCCCCAACCAAACCAAACCAAACCAAACCCAAACCAAACCAAACCCCAACCACACCAAACCAAACCCCAACCAAACCCAAACCAAACTAAACCAAACCCAAACCAAACCCCAACCAAACCAAACCAAGTAACTAATCCAGTACTAACATAAATGCATTGACCAACCAATAGTTCAGCTACACTAGCTATTCAATAAGGTGCATTTTTGGTTGTAATTGTCAGGTGACGGCCCAAGCAACTTGTGCTACACTGACAGCAATGAGCATCGACCGTTACTACGCCATCACCGACCCGCTCAAATCACTCAAGACTCGGACGCCGAGAATCGCGATTGTCGTCAGTGTTGCTATCTGGACTTGTAAGTGGAAATACTGTGGATATTAAAGGGTATCCACAAAATGTTGTGACGAAAGTTGATTTACGAATACAGAGATAAGTCTCTACCAGTTGGAAAGATTGTTGAAGTAAACAAAGTTGGATGTTGTCGGGGTAGAACAACACTCCAAACACATTTTGGTGCCTTGTGAACTTTCAGTTCAAACTCTAAAGTATTCGAAGGAAAAAAAACGAAGAAAAAAAAGGTCCAAAAACGTTTAGTGGCAGTCAAGGGAAACAGACGTGTCTGTTTCCCTTGACTGCCACTAAACGTTTTTGGACTTGAGATGCAGTCTGTTTAACCCTCAACGACAAATTTAAGCTCTCCAAGTGAATTACAGCGCCACCTGAGGCTGATTTGTTAAATCTTTACATAACTGAACAAATCATCAACACATCGTACTCCACTAATCCGCATCATTTCCCATATTTTGTTTGGTCTATACTTTTATCTATGCAGGGTCTGCACTGTTTGCTATTCCGGTCGCCGTGTACTTTAATACTGTGGAAGCATTTTTTGAAAACGAGACTTACTATTACTGTAAGGAGATGTGGCCCTACGAAATTTTCTTTCCTGGCTACGCCGTATACAGCTTCGTCATGACGTACCTGATCCCGCTGTCCATCATAGCTGTGTGCTATGTCATTGTCCTGAGCCGGCTTTGGAAGGCCGTCTCGCCGACAGAGGAGTCGCACGCGCCGGTCCACCTGCGAATGCTGATGCAGAAACGCCGGGTCACACGCATGATCCTGGCTGTGGTGCTGGCCTTCGCCGCCTGCTGGGTTGGTGTCCACATCGTGAAGCTCTGGCGGAGCTTCGACCCGAACTTCCCTGAGACCAACATGGCCGCCTTCGTGTTCCAGATCTTCTCGCACATCTTGTCCTACCTGAACTCGTGCGTCAACCCATTTGTATATGCCTTCATGGGCGGCAACTTCCGAAAGCAGATGGCCCGGGCGTTTCCTTTCTTAATGACGAAGAGGAACTCTGCCAACGACGGCCCGTCGGGTAGTTTGATCAAGTCCAAATCCACGCAAGTCTAAATCCGTCTGAGATATTGGCAGTCAGCGCTAAAAATACGAGAAAACTGTACAGTCACAGTACAAGCGGTCCGTGATGGCAACGTCTTCTCCGAATTGCCCTCGAAAAACCTCAAGTTTTTTTTTCGGTCAAACCATTTATTCCCCCCGGTTGTCAAAGTGAAATGGTTTTATGTTGACGTGCCGCAGCCAGGCGTTGGTCCAGTCTGGGAATAAGGACGATTCACAATAGTGCGCCTCCAAGAGTTTGCAACGCGTTGGCCCATCACAATGCGCGAAATCTTTCGACCCCTACCGTACGCGCTTTGGGTTAACAAATTTCGCGCATTGTGATTGGCCAACGCGTTGCAAACTCTTGGAGGCGCGCTATTGTGGTTCGCTCGGATTGCTGAGTGTATCACGCTAGCTTCTGGCATCTTCTTGGGTACGATGGTGCAACCAAACCCTCTCCGGTGTCAAATGCATTGCTGTCAAGGTTTTCCATGCGTTATTGTACATGTACACAAGAAATCAAATGGTAGAGTAGTTGAAATAAAACACATGGCAAGCATGCTAGAATATACTTTGTACCGAACCATAATGCATAGTTTAAATCGAAACTCACATTTTGGCAGAACTCAGAAACATGTCGGCTAAGACGAGGGTAATCGATAAAAGGCACCTGATCAAAATGAAAACGCATTGAGTTAGAATGGAGCTTGGCGTAAAATTCATGTATCATAGACGGCTGTGAATAATATTCATGTGCTATGTCGTCAACGAAGCAATGGTTCAATGGCAATTTTATTATTTTCATCACAGCACCCCATGTGTTAATGTGAATGCTCGACATTGATGGACTCTTTTGGCCTGAGGATATTGGCGCATTCAAGAAGAAATTTCTGAGGCGGCAGCTCGCGGTGCACACCTTTTTTTTTAGCCATCTTGCGGGGCAGTTCTTTTGTTCCATAGGGAAACCTCCTTTGTGCATGCCTTGTGGAACAAAAGCACTAGCCTGCAAGATGGCAGCCATGCAAACCCTCTATGGCTTGTGCATAGATTGTATACATTTCAAAATCTGAAGGGGTACCAAGACGTGTGCCCCTTCACAAGTAGTTACGACATTGCGTGGGTATCTATCGCCGGTTTCATAAAGTTCATGCGATAGTCTTGTTTAGAGTTTTTTTCTTCCCCCCCTTTCTCTCTCTCTCTCTCTCTCTCTCTCTCTCTTATGTTTAGGGGTCAGAGGGCGTGGGATGGGGGGGGCAGGAGAGACTGAATTCGTTCAGATTCTGCCCGATCCCCGACCCCTCCAAAAGACTGTTTCGGTCGTACGTGTGCGTGCTTTTGTTATTTGCTGTTACGTTACATTTCTTGTAATTTATTCCGAGAAACCTCATTAATTTGAATGTCTGGAGTCGTGTGTAAACAGTATGAAGATTGGAGTGGTTTACACATAAAGTTATTCATGTATATACGTGGACAAAAATGCAACGAGTATTTACGTTTTGTATAGTGCAGGATATATACGACTCACATGACCTACTTTGTAGTATACAGTATGCATAGATAATATCACTATGGCGGATTTTGTGAGTTGATGTGTACTAGAAATTAGGGTGATTACGACATTCTATTATTAACGGATATTGTGTTAACCTGGTTCGAAATTATTTTATTTATGAACTCTCTAGTATAATGTGATCTCCGTGGACCTCCAGAGACTCTTTGGCGGCAACGGTTATCTCGAGGGCGTAAAATGCGACCATGGATCCATTTTCGATATTTGAGTTATAGGTCGTCGATTCCCACGAGGTGCCTAATCACTACGTTTGGGTTGCTCCGTTCCGGTGTTCAATTTTGACGGACTCGGTGTCCACGCTTCGCTTGTCTCAGTGAGTGGGAAGACTCCAGTTCTCCTGGAGTTCTGATTCCATGCCGCCATCCACTGAGTCCGAATTTCGTAGGACTCCAATTTCTTGAAGAGGTTCGAACATTTTGGGTTTCTGATTTTCTGCTCACTCTACTTGATTCTATTCTATCTAGCGCGGTATGATTGAACGGAAAATGGACGCATTGACTGCAATACAACTCTTTACGCGTATCTGGAGCAGGAAGTCAGGTGGGACAGGATTTCGGGGAATTCAGGGGGGCATGCACGGTTCTTGGTACAGCAATAGGCCCCGAGCTGGACAAGAGAGGGCGCGATTTCCTTACAACGGTGGCTCCTTTGGCAGGAACTTCATTTCGCTGGTTAACGAACGACACGAGATGCATGCTTTGCGTGCGCGTCGCTCTCAACAGGCTAAACACTCCCGACCAGCATATTGACAAGAATATAACATATAATCAGTGTTCTGAAACATGTAATTGTCGAGCTTTCGTGACTGAGTACCTTCATCAGGGCAAGCAGATTCAGTTTAGCACGGCTCTTTTCAGCCGATGAGGGGTGCTTCTGCTCAAGGCGGATGGATGGACGCTCGCTGTCGAGGAAATGTTAAATGTGGGCGATGTTTGAGTGAATTTAGTGCGTTTGAGGAAAAGCAAGAGGACTGTGCTGCGTGCGGGTAAGGGTGGATATGTAACAGAGAGGGGAGATGAATGATGGTGAATTTTTGTATGGTGTCAACAAAAAGTGTGACAGGGAGGTGAGTGGCAAAGGGATGATGGAAGGGGTAAGTTACAGTTGTTATCGAATTGTCCCGATATTTCCAAGCATTCGACATTAAAAATGTTAAAAATGTTTCCCGTTTTTTCATTTATTGAATTTGTATTACATATTCAAATTGTGGAATTCACAAACGTCTGAACGAGCCTGTTCGATATTTCAACAAGGCAGGGTCATTCGAGGACAAAGAATACATTCGAATGTATGTAGCCGTGCAGCTGGGACGGACGTCGTGCAATCGCATTGGCTGTTCCCCTATGACCTCGAACGCGCTGCATTCATGGCAGCGCTGTCGAGATACCTAACTGGCTTGTTCTCCTGATTTATGTAAACAGCGGTTACAGTTTGCTAGAGCTTGCCAGAATTGGCGACCCAAAACAAAAAGCTCTCTTCGTGTAACTTCCCTTAATTCTCACGAGGTATATCCATGGTAAGGATAAAAGAGAAATGGGAACGAGACGAATCACAGGCGGATGATAACGAGAGCGAATACAGGTGACCTCAAGGCCGCATTCAGAACCGCTGTTTCTAGAGGGGCAATTCTGTTCCGGGTCCCCAAAATTTGGGAATTTCTTTATGCATCCTTCTGTAGGCTTTCAGATAGATCAGGAGAAATGAAGGTGGGGCCTTTATAGGCTTTGGGAAGGCCGGAATATTACAACCTCCCCAGATTGCGTCTCCCTCATTAGGCTGTGTTAAAACAAAACGCCTCCTCCCCCTGGTAACGCCCCATGGTGGTGAGCATTGACACCCCAACGGCAACCTGCATCGCTCCCTCTCATTTTCAGTTTTGCATCTCTAAGATCTTAATAGTCTGGTGCATGACCGTGTTTTCATTTATCGTTCGCTTTAGCATACTGTGTCTGTATTAAAACAGATGATGAAGATGAAAAGTTGAACGTTTCATCAAAACAATATACAAGTTTCACAATTTTTACAATTACTATCAAAACGAGCGGGGAGATTTAAAAGTGGAAGTTGACGTAATAATTCACAGCAAACTGGCAAATACGTAATGCACGTTGATATTTGAAACACCAAATACACTGGATAAATTGTTTCCACCCTGTTGGTACTGGATGCAGGAGGAAAATTTCCTTTCCATGAGTTTACCATTGAAAGCTGTGCTTGATATAAAGTTACCGCTTGGGACAAGGTTAATTAATGAGGCTCCGGTTTTTCCTACCCTGGATGAGCCAATGGGTGATCTGTATTGGTATGCTTGTATGATGGGTGTCTGAACAGATGCTTAACTGAGGGAAACGAGGGAAAAGAGACGATTAGTTTGCATGA